ATCAACAAATACTTTTTAAAGGTAAAAATTAACTGTATAATCATTAAAATCTACTTTTTAAAGGTAAAAGGTTACTTTTAAACCAATACACACTACTTTTTAACCACTAAAAACAATTTTTTAAAGGTAAAAATTAATTTTTCAATTAAAACTACCTTTTTAAGGTAAAATGAATATTTTTCTATTGCAAAGAAAGTAATTTCTTAATCAGTACCTAATTTTTAACCAATAAAAACTACTTTTAATTAATAAAAACTATTTTTTAACCACTAAAAGCCTAATTTTTAACGAGTAAAATCTATTTTTAAAAGATAAAAAATAATTCTTTAAGAATTAAAACTGCCTGTTCAAGGTAACAAAATACTTTTTAACTGCAAGAAAAATACTGTTTAACTAGTAAAAACCTACTTTTTAACCATAAAAAAATACTTTTTAGTGAGTAAAATTTTACTTTCTAACCACTAAAATTAATAAAAACTAAAAAGTAAGTTTTTAGGGACTAAAAAGTAATTCCAAAAAAGTGAATTTATTAACCGTAGCAAAGTACTTTGGCTGTCTCCTATTTAATAGAGTTTTTTTCAAGGGTTAATACATTTTTTGCTACCATAGCAAAAAATTTCCCTCGGTGTAGATCTTAGAACTTCCTGGAGCTACTTGGAGCTTATTGGAACTTCTTGGAGCTTCTACAGGTTTAGAAATAAAAAGAACCTTAGTAACAGTAAAAGTACATATACATGCCAGTTTGGAAATCTAACGGACTAATGCATAAACGGGACAAATATTTAAGTTACATCATCTGAACAGAATATAAAATATTTGTAAGGCCAAAATAAGTTATAACAATGAGTTTTACATCATCTAAACAAAATATAAGCTATTTATAAGGCCAAAATAAGTTAAGAGCCATAGATTTCCGTTTAAACCGTATTTCCAGACTGACTTGTAATTCGATTATGTAGTTGCCTCCCCGCGTATATATCAAAGTATCAAAGAAAGCGTAAAAATATTATTAATCAGGGTAGCTATAATTTATATAAAATAAAATAAAATTTAAATAATCGGCATGATGGTAATAATAAAAAAAAGCAAATGGCCGATCCTTTTCGGTTTTCCAATGAAATCCAGCAAAATATGAATAATACAAAGACGAAAGAAATGTTACTTGACAATTGTCCCAACGTTAACATACAATAAACACATAAAAAACAAGATAATTATGGAAAAACTACTAATAGTTAATTATTTTTCGGCACACATTACCACATCATGTAGTTCGATAAACCATAAAGGACGATCCATTGCGACCGCAGCGGTGTTTTATAGTTCACTAGCATATGAGCTCCTCGGGTATACAACAAAATAGCCAGCACACAACAAATCCATATAACAAAAAAAGCCAGAGTTGCACTCATTCCTAAAGGGAAACCAAAAGAACGTAAATTCAGGCACACATATTCTAGATGTACTAGGTAAGCTCTTAGAACACCTAATTAAGAAAAAACTAGAAGAATACATTACAATCTCCGACTCCCAATACGATTTTAAGAAAGAAAAATCTACTGTGGAAGCGATCACTAGAAAAACGGACCACTGTTATCAAACTATTGTAAGCCTAGACATTAAGAATGCATTCAACACGGCAAAATAGCACCTAATTATAGAAAACTCAAAGATAACGGCACGCCAAAAAGGCTAACAAATCTAATCAGAAGTTATATGCAGAACAGAAAAATATAAGTCAAAGGATACACCAAGAAAATGACCCAGGGTTCCGTTCTCGTTCCAACCCTGTGGAACATACTATACGAAGACGTATTACAACTCCAACTGCCGACAGATTGCGAAACAGTCGCATACACGGACGATCTTACTTTGAGTGAGATCCAGTTCAAAAGCGGGTATGATTGAGAGAGCCAATACATAAATAATCCAAATATGCGACTGAATGGATAGAAACAAACTTACACTGGCTATGCAAAAGACTACCGCGTTCATATTTAGGGGACCAAGAAACAGAGTAGGTATACGTAAGGAACGTAGTAATAATACCTATTAGAAATGCAAAATGTCTTGGAATTTACATCGATGACAAGCTGATATACAACGAACATATTAGGAAGACTGTGGAAAAAGCGGAGAAATCCTATGTAGCTTTGGCAAGGGTGATGCCAAACGTAGGTGGCCTACCTCAAGCTAAGAGGGAAATACTAAGCCAGGTCGTACACTCCATTCTTCTGTGCGGAGCACCCATATGGTACAGGATAACTGAGACCAAAACTTACAGTAAAATGATCCATGACTCAGAGAAAAATGTTGATCAAAGTATCCTATGTCTATCAAACAATATTTAAAGAGACGGCTAACGTAATAGCGGGAATTATATCAATTACATTAATGGTGAAACAAAGGGTGAGGCTTCACTAGAAAAAAAGAAGAGGTGAGGAGATGTAGAATATAACCAAAAGGGCAGAAAAGATAGATATTTCAACAGCCATATGGCAGGAAGAATGGGAGAACACAGAGGCAACGGCACAAAGGACAAAGACGCTGATTCCAAGAAAATATCCCTGGCTACAATGCAAACACAAAAAAACCGGACTACTACATAACGCAGTTTATAAATGGGCATGGCTCATTTAGAAGCTATACATACAGGATAAGGTAAGCCAGTGACTCAAATTGTAAGTATTGCGGAGAGACTGACACACCAGAACATACGGTCTTCTCATGCGTCAGGTGGAAATATGACAGGGAAATTATTAGGGAACTAGAACTTTCGCCACAAAATATCGTGGGAATAATAATGGAAGACAAGAGAAATTGGAACAAAATAGCGGAAAATATTAGGAAAATAATAAAAAAAAAAGAAAGAAAGGAATTCCCAGGAAATGGGAAAAATATAAGGAAAGGGTGAAATAGGAAAATATCTAAACTCAAAACACTCCCCACCCTGTTGAAATGCCGAAAGGCAGTCCCAGGGCGGCACAAGGATACCACAGAGGTAAACTAGGGGTTTTAGCGCGTCCGGCACTACCAACTGCATATACCCAGCGGTTGGTGCCAAGCTGTTTCCCCTAAAAAAAAAAAAAAAATACTGTGCTGTATTCAAAGATGCATACTCCGGTTATAGAATTTTGTACCTTATAAAACATAAATATAATACACTGAACTGTTTTAAAGAATTTTATAGGTTGTGTAAAAATAAATTTGGGCATAATATAACAATTTTACATATAGATAAAAAAACCGAGTATTGAAATGATGGAATAAAAGAGTTTTTAAAAAAACAGGGTAAAGCAATAGAAAATACTGCTCCGTGTACTCCAGAACAGAATGCGAGAGCTAAAAGAGACAATAGAACCATAGTAGAAAGCGCTAAAACCATGTTGTGACATTCAAAACTCCCAAAAGACTTATTGGAAGAAGCGGTAAATACTGCTGTATATATTCTCAATAGAACTCCAACAAAGCAAGCACCAGATTCAACGCCTTACAAGATGTTGACACTGTAAAACTGTAACATTATTAAATGTGAGGCTTCCATGTACATACCAAAAATTAAACAAACAAAGTTAAATTCTAAAAGTCAAAAGCTTATTTTCGTGGGCTACGATAGAAACTCGACAAATTACAGACTTTACGATTCATGTACAAAGAAGATTACTATTTCTCGAAATGCAATCTTTAGTGAAACAGTGGGAGAGTTTACTTAAAAAATTGATTTTGTGAAAATAGAGATTCAAGATGACATGACTATAGATTCACAACAAATGCCAATATAAACAGTGAAAGAAATTGAAGAAGAAACTCAAAATAGATAAGATGAAAATATACAAATGCCAAGAAGAGAAGATGCAGAAGAAGATGGAAATGGAGTAAAGTGCGATAAAATTAATAGAAAATCCAGAATTCCGGAAGAGAAGTTAACATATAGACGCACGTTACCATTTCACAAGGAAAAACTATAGGCTAGGTTTTATTGCACCTACTTATATTAATACAAAAGACCAAGTAGCAGATCTATTTACAAAGGCCTTGCCCCGTCCAGCATTTCTGAAACTTATAGACGATATGGGAAAGAAAAAAACAAACGAAAATGTTAATTTATTTTTATTGTTAGGCATGTATATTTATTTTAGAAGTATTCATTTAGTGGGAGTATTGTGGCCTAAAAATGCGTACTTCATGCTATATTGTGTTAACTATTTGTCATGTCGTTAAGTTAGTTGTTATAGTTTATTTGGATAGCACATACTTACTTTGAAGTCTTGTCAAAAATAATTATTTGGGTGCGTCAGTCATAATTAATAGTTATTTTATATTCTATACAGAATAAAACGTCTCCTACCTTATTATTCCCAAGTTAAATTATACCAGACAGACGACGACAGACGACGACAGACGACGACAGACGACGACAGACGACGACAGACGACGACAGACGACGACAGACGACGACAGACGACGACAGACGACGACAGACGACGACAGACGACGACAGACGACGACAGACGACGACAGACGACGACAGACGACGACAGACGACGACAGACGACGACAGACGACGACAGACGACGACAGACGACGACAGACGACGACAGACGACGACAGACGACGACAGACGACGACAGACGACGACAGACGACGACAGACGACGACAAACGACGACAGACGACGACAGACGACGACAGACGACGACAGACGAAGACAGACGACGACAGACGACGACAAACGACGACAGACGACGACAGACAGACCAATGGAACGGGTAAACATGTTTTTTATGATCTAGGGACACTACAAGATTTGAGATAATCTCAGAGGGTAACTTTCTCACGATTACAATATACTTCCCTCTAATGAAAATATTTGAATTCTCAATCTTTTTAGATGTACGATGTACAAATTTTTTAAAATTGTTTTCCTCATAAACTATGTTTTGTGATCCTCCATCTTTTTACCTCTGTGTCCTCCATATTTAAAAACGTTTTTGTTTTTAGCTCAAATGCTCGCAGTTGTAGCAGGTTCTAACGTTGTATGGACATCGCCTGCTTTGTTAAAACTTACTTCAAATGACACGGAGATAAATCCACTTGGAAGACCTGTAACAACAATAGAAATTTCCATGATAGCAGGAATACCGTCTTTAAGTGCTTTAGTTGGTACTATGGTTTTACCCCAACTAGCTGATGTGATAGGAAGGAAAAAGTATTTGCTGCTCAATGGATTGGGAATGCTTATAGCTGGTGTATCATTAGCTTTTAGCACAACAATTATTTATATAATCATAACAAAATCTTTTCTAAGTTTCTTTGCATGCGGTGCTTGGACTATTTTACCAGTATATGTAATTGAAATTTGCGAAAAGCACAATAGAACTAAATTCGGTTGCTTCATAGGGATATTTCACCAAATTGGACATTGCTACGTTTACTTCGTAGGACCTCTTTTTTCTTTAAGGATTTTCACTTTAATTATATTAACACCGGCACTAGTTTTTCTCATGATCTTCGCCATAGTTCCCGATAGTCCCATTTATTTATTGTCGAAAGGTAAAGTGAAGGAGGGTAAAGAAGCCTTAAGAAAATTTAGAAATAATAAAAGCGAAGAAGAGTTAGAATTTGAGTTTGTACATATAAAAAAAATTGTAAAAGACAGGGCTGAGGCTAAAAAAGCTACCATGTTGGTTTTGTTTAGGAAAAGACAGAATAGAATAGCTTTGATATTGGCTTTACTTCCGTTAATAGTTCAAAATTTTTGTGGTATATCAATTATAATGGCCTTTTTGGCACCGATTTTTAATGCAGCTGGTACCAATATTTCAGGGAATATCGCTGCTGTTATAGTTTCGAGTGTAAAAATATCGTGTTTCGTTTTTACCTCTTTCGTTATAGATAAATTTGGTAGAAGGCGAATGCTACTGATTTCATCAGCAGGTACTGGTGTTCCATTTATTGCATTAGCTCTGTATTTCTATTTGAAATATACTAATTCTTCTTTGTTAGACTCTCTGCAGTGGCTTCCTTTAATTGCAATGCTGGCTCTCATCATCATGTATTCAGTGGGTCTTGGTCCAGTTCCACCGGCTCTGGTCAACGAGCTCTTTCCACACGATCTTAGGGCAGCTTCTAGTGCTATTATAAACACAATGGTCAATATTATTGTATTTAGCTTAAATGTTAGTTTTCCGTTGATTTCTCAAGCGTATGGAATTCATTGCTGTTTATGGATATTTAGTTCATTTTGCTTTATTGGTGCTATTTTAATTTATTTATTTTTACCAGAAACTAAAGGCAGGAGCTTTAAGGAGATACAGGAAATGTTAAATAACTATTAACGGCTTTAGAAACAATAAACATGTATATGTATTATGTGGTTTTATTAAAATAACTTTTAATAATATATGATTCTGTCAACTTCTTTTACAAAAGTAAGTCGAAATCTTTAATAACTCTCTTTTTGTGTTTCAAAAGGAAGTGCATGATCCGGGTGGCTCAAAATTAATTGAAAACATTTGATCGAATGGAAAATTTGATCAAAAATACATTTTATCTAATAACATTTGATGGAAAATATATTTTATCGAATAACATTTTATCGAAAAGACAATAGATCTAAAATTCATTAGATCGAAAATCAACATTTATAATAGTAAAATATAAAAATAAATTAAACGATACCATGCAAGCGTCCCTATAATCTATATTACCAGGAAATTAACCCACCATTAGGCGCGTGGATTCTACTCACGCCGTTAGACACGTATTTAAATAAATATATTTGTCTTTAATATATATTTATCTATTTTAGTTTATATGCATTAAATATATTTATCTACAACCACCACAGTTATTCGTCTATTATGTATCGTTTTGTTTATAAGTAAATACATCATTACAGATAGTGTTACGTAATGAAATCCCAGATATATATATATATATATATATATATATATATATATATATATATATATATATATATATATATATATATATATATATATATATATATATATATATATTGTACTGTTTTTATTTAATTAAAGCCCTGTCAAAAACATATAATTCTTCAAGAAAATTTTTTTTAGAACAGAGCTTCTATAAATTATAATTAAAAGAAATGATAATGAATAGTTATATTATTTCCTTTTAGTAAATCAAATATTATTAACATACCTTATTATATGGTATCTTTTATAACATCCTGTATGTTATTTTTATAAAAAATCTTGTTAAATGTACAAGAAACAATTATCATGAACAAAATTTGTGCAAATAAACAAGTAAATCAAATATTATTAACATACCTTATTATATGGTATCTTTTATAACATCCTGTATATGTTATTTTTATAAAAAATCTTGTTAAATGTACAAGAATTAATTATCATGAACAAAATTTATGCAAATAAACAAGTAAATTAAATATTATTAACATACCTTATTATAGGGTATCTTTTATAACATCCTGTATATGTTATTTTTATAAAAAATCTTGTTAAATGTACAAGAATTAATTATCATGAACAAAATTTATGCAAATAAACAAGTAAATTAAATATTATTAACATACCTTATTATAGGGTATCTTTTATAACATCCTGTATATGAATTTTTTGTAAAATCCTGTTAAAATTGATGTCAGTGATGACACAGAGTTGATTTTGATATCTTGATTCATGGGATAGGAATTTGTCTCCATGGGGACAGAAAAAGTTGTTGATTGAAAAAGGTCGAACGGGAGACATATTTAATTTTTGGATAAAATTTGGAGTACCTGAAAGAAAAATTAATTAAAACTAGTTTAAAACCGTCATATATCATTCTATTTAAGGTAAAAGTGTTACAAAATGAAGGTAATGTCATTTGATTATATATTTTAATTGTCAAAAACATTCTATTTGCGGAAATACATACCAATAAAATATATGCCCATGAGAATCAGAGACATGAGATTGATATCCTATTTCATGGTTGTTCATTGGAAAATTTGAGGCAGTATCCTGTGTTTCTTGGACTGGAACACTCTACGAAGAAAACAGATTGTTGTGAAATAGAGGATTTCCATTCAACAAGTGTAAGTGTCAAACTATTTCATTAAAGTACATACCTGATAAAATAATAGGAACAAATTGGAACTGAATAACACAACTGTTATACAAAGCTCGTGCATAATTTTCCGCCATTCTGTAAAAGATTCAAGTCAAGTTTCGAACCATGTGTGTGAATGAACACTGCAATCATTATGAATCGATTACAGAGTTTATTTAGTTCAGAGAATGTTAATTAGAATTTAGGTTTATAATTTTCTACCCAAGCAAAGTTTTAATTTCACTATTGCCTAATAGGTGGCGTTAGATACAGTAAAGTATATTCTTGGGAAGAGAAATTGTTTTAAAAAAAAAAAAACGTTGATCAAGGTTTTTCTTTCTTTCGTTTTATATATTTAAAAAAAAAAAAAAAAACAATATACCCTAGTAATTTGGTTTGTAAAAAGTTTATTTGTTCACTGTTTAATATGCAGGGCCATTTACATAATGTTAATAAAGTATTATTATTATTGTAACATGTATTATTGTCAATATTTTAAATTGAATGATATATAGGGTGGCGCCATAGACAATCACAATACAGGTAATATAAAATATTAAAATTTTCTTTAAAAATATATAAAAATAGAACCCATTCCCTGAGAGCAGAGTCGAATCTACAATTAAAAAAAAAAAAAAATATATATATACAAGGTGTGATAAAAAAAAAAAAAAAAAAAAAGGTAAGCATTAAAAAGAAATATTATGACTATATAAATAAATATTATTTGGTATATATTTTCAACACGTTAGCTGCCAAATCAAAGTAAGCACACAAAGTTCAATATACTTAACATCAATTTGGCTAGCAAACGTAGAAAATGAAAATAATATAACAATTGGCTATCCAAACGTGGGGCGTTGTATAATAATTGACGCGTTGTATAATAATTGACGCGTTGTATAAAAATTGACGCAATCCAAACGTGTGGTAGATAATTAAAACATTAGCGTACCTTTTAATTAAAATAAATATATAATAATTGGCTTTTTACTACGTGGCAATAACACAAAACAAGTAGCAGGCAAAGTAGTGTTTGTATACAAGTGAAGTGGATATCAGTGTAAAAAAGTATAAGAAAGTGGTGAAATAATTTTATTGGAACCGGAAAACAGTGACAGACATTAAATTAGTGTTATGAAATAATATTAACATAGTACAACAGTGATACAAAATGTTCTTGAGAAGTGGAACAAATAAGAAAGATAAAGAAGAAGAAGAACATCATTCTGAAGAAGTACAGCATACTAAAGAAGAACAGAGAGGACAAGGAGATATGGAAGCTCAAAAGTTAGATGACACAATGGTAGGAAATGAAGGGGAATTGCATAGTGAAAGACAGGCAACAAATGAGGAAAAAGATAATAATGAGGATAGCACAAAAAGCAAAATTGAAAAGGGAGAAGAAAATAACCTAATTATGAAAATGTTAATAGAAATGAAACAGAATAATGAAAAAATGCTAAATAAATTAGAAAAGAAAATAGAAGAAGGACAACAAGATATGGTAAAAGAAATTAAACAAGGGATGGAACAAATGGAAAAGAAATTAGAAGATATAAGCAGAAGACAGAACACGGTAGAACAGAAGATAGAAGAACAAAACAAAAAAATAGCAAAAACAGAAAATGACATGAGCAAAATAGAAAGAAAGGTAATAAGTAATAGTAAGAATATTAATTTACTAGAGACTAGAGTAGAAGAAATTAGACAAGAAAATTTATCGATAGCAGAAGAAGAAAATAAAAAGACTAGAAAAGAAATAGATTGGAAAATAGAAAAAGTAAAGAAGGATTTTGAGATAAAAGAAGACATTGTTAAAAAATTGGATGAAGACATTAAAATAGGTTTCAAACTGCAAGAAGAAATAATTAATAAAGAGACTGATAATACAAGAAGAAAAATACAAGAGATAGCAAGTAAACTAAAAGAAAGAGAAGAATGGAGACAAGAAATAGAGAATAATAATGGAATAAGAGTAGTGAATACATATAATGGGGAACCAAATACGAAATTTGATGGAGACATAAATAAAACACATCCAAAATATTCATACAAATATTAAATAATAAAATTAAAGGTATCATAAATAAAGAGGAATTAAAAGAAGCAATTAGAAGTCATTTAACTGGTCATGCGTTACTATGGTACAATAGTAATATTTTTGAGATTGACAATTATAAAGAATTTGAAACAAGATTCTTGAATTATTTCTGGGGGGAAAACTCTCAATCTACAATAAGAGAACGTTTATATTTTGGACGATTTGACTATAACAGAAGTAATAATATGAACTATTATGCTTTGCAACTATTCACTTTAGCTAGATTCTTGGATCCTCATATGAGAGAGGAAGAAATTATAATGTTTATTGCAAGACATTACAAAAGTGAAGTAGCTGAAACCATAGCAATCCAAAATATCAAGAATTTTGAACAATTTTCAAATTATTTATTGAGGATTGAAAGAGGAACTTCACAATATAAAAATAACTATTATAATAACAATAACAACAATAATAACAATTATAATGAAAATTACAAACCAAATATGAGAAATAATAACAATAATACGTATTCTTATAATAATAATAATAATTATAATTCCCAATTTAGAAATAATAATAGATACCAAAATAATCAAAACCAATATAATAATACTTATAAAAATAATAGATTTAATAACAACAATAACAATAACAGATTTAATAATTATAATCCCAGAAATTTTAACAATACACATTATAATAATAATAATAATAATCAGAATTATGGAAGAGGAAATGAAGAGAACAGAAGGGAGGAAGATAATAGACAAAGAAGAGTGAATTATCAACATGTTGACAGAAGACAAAGAAGTCTAGAAAGAGAAGAAAGAAGAGAAGGAGTAGAAGAAAGAAATGGAGAAATGAGAAGAACAGCATCACTTGATGGACGGTCATTTGTGAATGCTGACCCACATTTTTAAATATGCGCTCTACAAACCACAATCTGAATATTTGTAACTATGAACATCCCAGAGAATTTATAATGTTAGATGAAAATTTAAAAGAAAATGAACAATTTAATTTAGTAATAGTAAAAGGGTATATAGGGGGACAACTAATTAATCTGCTTATTGATTCAGGATCTGAAGCATCATTGTTAAATGAGAATATTTTAGACCAAATTCCAACCTATAAAAATCAAATTATTCATATCCCAAAAATTAATCTAATTGGAGCTAATAATAGAAAACTATATGATACAAATAAAATGATTAATGTGAATATGGAATTTAACA